CAGCCATTGTGTCCTCTGCAACATCCTACATGCAGCTGTGAACACTTGTGCCCGGGCCAGTTTCTGGGCTGTGGAATTCACTCAGAAAGGAACTCTGTGAGCCACATACCACGGCAGGGCCCTGCTTTTCTCTGGGAATGTCCTGCGCTTTCCAACATTCCTCCTTCTACTTAGCCAAGAACAACAAGTAAATAGGAGATCTCGGTGCTGTACATAACCCTAGGCTACTCAGAGGTGAGACTCCAGGGGAAACCGTTTCCAATCTGTGCAAAGAATCTTTATTCACAACTTTCTGACCCGAAGCGGGGAATGGGGATGCCCACTTGGCCAGGTGTGGCTTTGGCCTAAGGCAGCAGCACCCTTGGTGCCACCATCTCTGGGGCCACGTGGTGGCTCTGCACGAACAACATCTAGAGGAGGTCCCACCTGGTCATTTGACACCCATCCTAGCCAGAAACCTAATCTATAGTGTGTCTCTGAAACCCACATGGTCCCTTCCCACATTTCCTTCAGCCCCTCCAGCAGGTGTCTCACATTTAAATCATAGAACAGGAGAGGATGGTTCCCAGGGCTTGAAATGTGTGTCCAGGATGACAAGGCTTTGAGTTCACAGATCAACCAACAGCTTATCATCTCTGTGGATGAGCCTAAGGCGTGGGTTCGCAATGGCTGCCTTGAGAACGCTGGGAATTGCTTCTTAGGCACAACATCCACGGTTTCAGTTGTCAAATAACGGTAGCTGAAGAATTGGTGGTTGCTACCCTCAAGATACAAAGTGTCTTCTCAAAAGGCTCAGGAATTGACCGCTTGGCCCCCAGCTGGTGGTTGACTGAGACGCGATCGGATCATGAAAGCACTAACTTCATTCATGGGCTACTAGGAAGGAGAGGCTGACTGAAGGCCACTGAGGCGTCTCTTTGAAGGATAGATCTGGTTGATAGTCCCTTCTATATTGCTTTCTGCCTCATGTTCACCATCAGGGAAGCTCCTTTGCTTACCACATGCTCCCTACTGGGATATTCTGCCTCGACACACATGAGGCCAGAAGCTACAGAGTAAAATGACCAGGGACTGGAGTCTGCTGAGTCTGGGAGCCACCATGGTCAGCACAGGGTTGGTTAGCTTTTTGGTTTTTTGGGTTTTTGGGGGTTTTTTTTGTTTTTTTGTTTTTTTTGTTGTTGTTTTTAAATCAATTTGACATAAGCTAGAGTCATCCGGGAAGAAGGAACTTCAGCTGAGGAATTGTCTCCATCAGACTGGCCTGGAGGCACAACCTCAGGGCTCGCTCTTGATTAATGAGTGACATGGGAGGGCAGTGCCACCCCTCAGCAGGTGGTCCTTGGTTAGATAAAAAAGCAGCCTGAGCAGGCGGTGAAAGCAAGCCAGTGAACATGTTCCTCCATGACCTCTGCTTCAGATCCTGACCTCGGGTTCCTGCCCTGCTGGAGCTCCTGCCTTGGCTCCCCGTGACAAAGTGGGGCAGAAGTGTAAGATGAGATGAACCCTTCCATCCCCAAGTTTCTTTTGATTATGGTGTTTACCACAGCAATAGAAAGCCAAGAAGGATAGATAGCCTTTTGGTTATCTTCTTGGGTATTTTGTCTGGGTAGAAACACTGGCCACAAGACATATATGTGTATGTATACCTATAATCGATGTGTACATATCAGACTGTGAGTGTATTCTCATCAGGATAAATTTTTAAGAGTCACAACTTTTCAAAATTTGGCAGTAAATTTGGAGAAGACGTCACTAAAAATGTCACGTAGGGGAGTGTAAACATATAGATGCAGGCTTCCTGTTTTCATTTTCAACATGACTGGTGTTCATGACCAGGGTGAGATATGAATGAGCTTCACTGACTCCCAAGCATCTTCTCATGGTCTGAGGCCTTTCTAGGGCATATGCTCAGCTTCCTCACAGCACTTAGACATTAAAAAGCTTTTTTCAGTTTTCTGTGATGCTAGTGTAAATGACCCACTGATGGTAACTCCTTCTGAAGAGCTTGCTGTCTTTGGCCACACGGATCCTGAAGACTCCAATTCTCTACAGTTTTGTTCAAAGCACCTCTCCCCCGGCAGACCTGACCGCTGCTCATTCTGACCACCAGCAATGCAAAGTGTAAGGAGGGTTGTGGAAAGTACATCCCCATGAGCCACCTTCTTTAGCAGCCTCTTTTCTAGTTAGGAAAGACTTCTCTTGATAATTGAGTTTCCCTTGATCTTTGGAGTTTGGAGAGGCAATGAAGAAAACCACACTTCTTCCTACCCAGACTCCTTTCCAAGCAATCCTGGGTTCCGCCACTTATTTTTAAGAGAGCAGAAGGGGAGGAGGCAGTAGAGAATGAGTGAGATTGGGTTTGGCTTTAAAGTAACGGTGCTGAGATGGTTTCCCTGCGGGACCCGCTTCTTGAGTGGCAGCCTGCCTGCCCTCCCAAGTGTCCCCAGAGCAGGAGACTGAACTGCATAGAAAAGGAAGGAGGGGCCAGGCAGCGGTGGCTCCTGCCTTTGATCCCAGTACAGGAAGCTGAGGCATGCAGATCTCTGAGTTTGAGGTCAACCTCGTCTACACAGAGAGCTGCAGGACAGCCCCGGCTACACAGAGAAACTCTGTCTTGAAAAAAAATTGAAAAAATAAAGGGAAGGAAGGTTGGGTGGTTTGAGTAATAATAGCTCCCCTAGGCTCATATATTTAAATGCAGAATCACCAGGGAGTGGAACTCTTTGAAAGAATTAAGAGGTGTGGCCTTGTTGGAGGAAGAAGTTTGTCACTGAGGGTGGACTTTGAGGTTCCAAAGCCCTTGCCAGGCCTAAGCTCTCTCTGCCGATGGATCTCTCAGCTACTTCTCCAGCACCATGCATACCACCATGCTCCCCAACATGATGACAATGGACGAAACCTCTGAGACTGTGAGTGAGCCCCCAATGAAATGGCTTCTTTCCTCAGAGTTGCCTTGGTCATGGTGTCTCTTCACAGCAATAGAATAAGGACAAAGACAAGGGTAGACTAAACTATTAGAACGTACTGCTCAGTTGTTTGGATCTAGGGCCAGGGTCTCATTCTACAGTCCAGACTGACCTCAAACGTGGGATTCTCCTGCCTCTACCTTCAAGTGCTACAATTACAGGCATGCACCACCACGCGTAGCCTAAGTTAACTTACTTCTCTAAGATAATTATTCTCTTTCAAGTTTTCCAGTGGAAAACAAGCTTAAACAAATTTATAAAATAAAATGTGAAACCCATTCATAGAAAGTAATCACTTCTTTAAAGCATATTTACAAAATTCTGCATTGGAGATCTTTAAACATTTTGTTCACACTCCCTGTGACCCACTCGAAAATAGAAATTTAAAAAGCTGATCACTTTCTCACTTGTCTGAAGGGTACCATGCAACAATTTTCAACATAAGCTTAAGTAACTGCTGGGGCTGTCACTTCCAGCAGGCTTTAAATAGTAACATTTGAAACTAAGACATCATGCCATTTTTACATGTGTCTGACCATGTGTCTAGACCATTTAATGCCCATTTCCGTCTACTAAAATATACAAGAAAAGCACTGTTTAATATGTGGAGATGGGATAGCCTGTCTTTTTCTCTATTCCATTCCACTCATATCATTCTATCCTAATGAAATTGATTTTTAATTCTTGAAAGTCCTTTATTAGCCACACTGATATAATTCCTCGCAATGAAATAGGTTCATGAACTGTGTTTATGGCTGGAATGCGGAAGGAGATTTGGAAGTAGACTGATGCTTTGAGGAACTGCAGCTCCCCTAGGAAATTATTCAGCGGTTTAGTTCAACATCATTCTCATTGTGATAAACTCTAGCAGCACAGGGGCTAGAACAAGGCCATTCCTCCCAATTCAGCCTCAGTGAGCAAGCCTCGGTATCTTACCTGGGAAAGGGAAGGAGGCAAGTTAAAATGGAGACTACCATTAGCATGGAATGCTCTCTGTGGAACCTTGGGAGTATATGGCCACACTTCGTTGGCCTGGAGTGTGAGTATACATCCCCTGATGGCTACAGAAAGGTTTAGCCCTGATTTTGGCAGGCCATCTCTGTCCAGGGAGTCACAGATACTATGAAGTTGAAGTTCCGGGAAGCAGCAAGCAGTTACAGCCACCAGACCAGCACCCACCCTGGTGGTAGTTGCCCAGAAGGAGTGAGCGAATGCACCCTGTGGGCAGCAGCTTCATTGGCAGGCCCATCAGAATGCTTTGGCTGTCTCAGTGTGCTGTTGGCACAGCAGCTCTGCCATAGCAACACATTCAGTGCTGGCCAGTGGCTCCAGCAGCAGCGGGCAGCAGCAGCTCATGAGCGCATCCAAGGGTCAGTGCCTTTGCTGCGTGCCTTGTCGCAAGTTCCAAGGTGACATTTCCAAGGGAGCCAAAGCAGGAGAGCATACAGCCAACACTTTAAGGATTTATAGGCAGAACCACAGGAAACACCAACTAGGCATCTCTCAGAAATGCTTACTGTACAAGAGTCCCAGAGGTACTGTGACAGAAGAATGTGCCAGGACCAAGAAAGTGTGGACTCGTTTATCTGTGAAATATAAACTAGGGATGTTCTAGTATGGGAGAATGCCCAATCAAATTAAGTGGACAAATTATTACTGTGGATCACACCAGAGCCAAGTGTACATGCAGAGGAAAAAAAAAAAAGCAGAATCGAGCATGGCAAAGACAGCATTCTAATTCCTATACAGTAAAAAGGGTGGGAAAAGGTCATGGCTGAAAAACAGCCTTCTGTTCCATTCATCGCCATTTTAGCTGAAGGGCACTACATGGCTAATTTTAGTCATAGCTTCAGAGAACATGAAGTTAGGTGATGACAAATATGTAGAGGAAGACGTATATACTACAAAACTGAGGCCCTGCTTCCAGCAAGTCTCTAAAGTGAAACTCCACAGGCAGCTGAGGCTGAGATGGAAGATGTGCTAGGAAGAAGTTGTACCCGCTGCCACGCTGCCTTTTTGTTTTGTTTTCCCAAGAGGATGAGAAAACAACCCTTTGCCAAAACAGCGCTGAGTTCCGAAAGCTTCTGGCTCCTGAAGACAAGCCGGTGTGCATTCCCAGAAGCTTCCAGACCTTGCCTCACACTGACAGGTACCTCCCCCAACTCCAGTCAGCTTCAGGCAGGGGAAAACAGTGCCACCAAGTCCGAGACTCTGCAGTACAGGTACACAAGCAAAGCATCAGGCTCCCTTCCTCCTCTGAACTCAACATAACAAACTTCCAGACCAAGATCCATAAACTGGTTCAGTTCTGTATTATTTGGGGGGAGGGAAGTCCTTTTGGACTTATAGACTTTTCTCCTTCCTTTATATCCTCTGTACTACACAGGACACTGGCCAGGGCTTAGTAAATACTGTTAAATGTAAAGCAGAAGCCCGGGATTCAATTGCCTAGCAAAACAAGCCGTTATCAGGGGTCATTTAAGACAGCCCTGAAAATCCTCCTTTCTGTAGCTCCTCCCACAGTGAAGAGTATAATCGCCATGTCTCCATGTAATCTACGGTATAATCTTCCAGGGCCTGTGCATTCTAGTGTGGCCTGGACCGGATCCCTCTTGTTACCAGAAGCTGGAGATGTATTTGTGGACTTGTAATTATCTGTAACTAGAAAAGAACAGGGAAGGAATAAGAAAGAAATAAGAGTAGAGTCCAGGTTATGCCAAATCTTACATACACTAACTCTGCTTTATACTAGAACTCAGAGAAAACTTTGGATCTGCCGATCTTTACAGCACATCACAGGTCCTGCTTTGGGAGAGAAGTCAAGGTTAGGACAACTGTGCGTCTGCTGATGCTCACTGACCCCTGCCCCAGAGTGCAGGTCCCACCTCCTCTGCCCCCATCCCACCCTCTGCTCTCTACCTGCCCTCCCTGTTGGGCAAGGGTTGAGTGTGGCAGGTCAGCCAGAACAGAGTTTCTCACCCAACCCCACATTAGTTCCATCCTCCCAAGCGTTTCTCATCTATTTATAGAGAAGGAACCAGATGAGAAAGAGGACTTCCTGAAGACAAGGAAGAGGAAATGTGGGGATGCCGTGCATTCATGTAAGGTTCTTGACCCATCCTGTGCCCATGTAGAGGGTGGGGCTCTGTTAGGCAAGCTCCAACGTCACCCTGCAAATACTAACTCCGTATACATCTTCAGAAAAGTCCTTCGTGCTCTACTTGAAGCCCAGTTACTAAAGAATAAGCCACTCGTCTAGTATTCCATCAATAGCTATGACCCCAGCTGTTCTGTTTTGTTTTGCCTGCAATGTACTTACTGAAAACCAAAGTAACATTCCCAACAATGTGTCGCTTAAGGTAACAGCAATAATCATGATCAGCACCCATACTACTTAAAATGGATAAGCATTATTCTGTTTCAACGTATCCTCAAGAACTGGTTTCTATTGTGTCCCCATTTCACAGATGAGGAGTATCTCGTTCAAGGTCATATATCTAACAGGTAATGTAGACAGAATATAAACACAGGTGATTCAGATTCCAGATCAGATTTATAAGCAGTCACCTAAAACAACTCATAGGTTTATATTTCTTGTCAGCCCAGGTATGTAAATAATAAATATTTATTTATTATCAGCCAAGGAGAAATGGAGACAACAGTAGAGGATTGGACCTTAAGCCAGAAAGAAGTCTGGAGTCCATATTGTTTGCATAATTTTCTGCCAGAAGGAGGGAGTTAAATTTATAAAGAAAAGAGAAATTGTATGCTCCAGTTTTTTCCCTGATTCTGATGTGTGACCCCCGCAAAATTCCTTGGGCAGAAAATAATGGCCATCTATAGCTTCAAAGACTCACTTTGAGAGTCCTTTAGAGTTTTGGTTACTTACGATGAGTTTAACACATAAATCTAATAAAATATCAGAAATAAAATTTTGAAATATCAAATGAACAATATGCTAACATATCTTTTGTAAAATGATCCTCCACCCCCACCCCTAGACACGGTCTCTCTGTGTAGCCCTGGCTGTCCTGAAACTCACTCTGTAGACCAGGCTGGCCTCGAATTCATAGAGATCAATCTGCCTCTGCCTCCTGAATGATAGAGTTAAAGGCATTCGTCACCACCACTCGGTGATTTATTTATTTTTATTTTATGTATATTGGTGTTTTGCCTGACTGTATGTCTTTGTGAGTGTGTTGGATCTCCTGGAGCTGGAGTTATAGACTGTTGTGAACTGCCATGTGGGTGCAGGAAATTGAACCTGGGTCCTTTGGAAGAGCGGCCAGTGTGCTTAACTATGGAGCCATCTCTCCAGTCCCAACATCTCTTAAGAAAACAAAAAAGACCAGTGATTGTTCATCCCTGTTATTTTTGGTGGTAGTGTGTGTGTACTTCTCTTCTTTGGGGTTTACTGTTGTGGCTTTATCTATTGCCTGTGTTTTCGAGTGTGTATCTGACTTCAGCCCCTGTGCTTCCCAAACCTGTAGTAATTCTGGGTCAGGAATAAACATTGCAAATAAACAAATAAACAGACACAATAAAAAACAGATCCTAAAACTTATAGGGAGAAAAATTAGTTCACACACAGAGTACCAGAAATTAAAACAACATTGGTTCCAATAACAGAATAAAAAAATAACACACTGCTTTTTGACCTCTAGAAAGAATTAAGGGAACTTTTTCAAAATTCAGATTTCTAAACGCAGCCAATTTTAACCAAGTGTAAAGATAACATCATTTTAGATGTTTAAATGCTCAATGTTTCACCTTTCATAGACTCTTGTTTTAGAAAAAAAAAATGTAGACTATGGCTCTTTGAAAACTGAGGAGATCTATAAATGGAAGGAAGTAGAGGCTCCTCTGAATGTCAGCTGTGGAGGAAGCGTGGACGGGACTCGGTCTCTCTTACACAATGCTGAGGAAAGCATCCAGGGGAAGAGTGCTCAGATTTAGACCAGCAGCGGCAGCAGCAAACCCTGAAATACTTGACTCTGTGGTGGACAGAACCAAAGGGCATACACAGAACTATGAGAACAATTAATGTTGGTGGTTGTACAAGCTAAGAAAAAGATATTAGGTTAATAATTCTAGGAACACTTTGAAAATGTGAACAAAAAATGAAACAAAATTATGTTATGCTGTTCACCTTAAGTAAAAAAATAATAATAATAATAATTTCCATAGTCTTAGTAATATAAACTCTACTGATTTACCAGCAAAGTACTGTGTCAATTAGGAAGAGTGGGAAGCAGGGAGAGCAGTGAGGAGAGAATGTCATAACCTCATGTGTGACGACAGGTCTTTAAATTTCAAAAATAGTAAGTCCAAAATGGAGGTTAAAGCACATTATTTTAAATTATAGAAGAAGAAAAGGCCAAAGATGTAGCTCAGAGGTAGAGTGCTTGCCGTAAGATGAGTCCACGGATTTGGTCCCCAGCTTTGCAAGGAAATAAAATCAAAACAGAAGAGCCACTCATGGTAGAACACATCTGTAATCCCAGCAATCCAGAGGCTGAAGCAAGAGGATCATGCATTGAAAGCCAGCCTGTGGTGTAGAGTGAGACTTGGTCTCCAAAAAAATTTGTTCTAATTAATTTAATTATGGAGAAAAATGTCACAGGAAAGTGTGTTGGACTAGATCGGTTTTGAGAACAGAATAAATGCTGGGCAGAATTCTTAATTTGGATGTTCTATGATATGGCAGCATCTCATTTCATTGCTGGCCTGGAACTCGTGGGTGGAACCATTCTCCCACCCAGCCTCCTGAACAGCGGGATCACTCCTTTTCTTAGAAAGAACTTGGAGGAGGCGGAAAGGTACATCAGTGGTCAAGAGCACTTGCTGCTCTCCCAGAGGACCATGCCAGGTGGCTCGCTACCACCTGTAACCCCAGTGCCGGAGGAACCAATGCTCTCTCCCGGCCTCCACAGTCAGCCACACATGCTCAAGTACACACATGCGCAGACATGCACACAAATAAAAATAAGATCAATCTTTTACACAAGCATCTTGGAAATACTATTGGATTTCTAAAAATACGTTCATGAGTTGTTTTTAAGAAGAATGAAAACTGGTGTACTGTAGCAGGCATCTGGGGCTCCCTGATGGTGTGTCTGCAACCCTTGCAAAGATCATTATACAAAACGAGAAAAACCAACATCCAAAGAAGAGGAAAGGAACCAGCAGGCTATTATTGGCTTCGTTACTGAAATAATCACATGGCAATTTGGTAGAGAATTCAAGAGGCAGTCAAGGTGATTTGGAGAGTTTATCCTTATGCCCATGTATATAATAGTATTATACCCATGCATATCTATTTATAATAGTTATATTTCATAGGTGTATATGCTACATATATTCCAAATGTGGAAGAGTTTGGTATCCTGGTGAATGATGATATCATGAATGATCTTGGATTTCATCTCTGTGCTGTAATAGAAAAAAAAATCATGGCTTTTAAATGAGCTCATTTATTGACTGTGTTTTCTGTTTGCCTTCTGCCTTGTACTTATAGAGTTATAACACTTAGAATTGGAAGGGACAGGTGATTAGATTAAGATGGCTAACTGGGCACAGATGTCTAAAACTGACAGAAGAGATTCTGTGTTTAAAATGATAAACTCGTAACAGAGCTGGAGCACGGCAAGGCATATTCTTGTGGGTCAGAAAGAATGAATTCCTCAGGAAGAGAAGGCAGGCAGGATTGGATCAATAGAGGAAGCTCTTTTTAAAACTCCACAGTCGTCTTCTTCTTCTTCTTCTTCTTCTTCTTCTTCTTCTTCTTCTTCTTCTTCTTCTTCTTCTTCTTCTTCTTCTTCTTCTTCTTCGGTTTTTCGAGACAGGGTTTCTCTGTGTAGCTTTGTGCCTTTCCTGGAACTCACTTGGTAGCCCAGGCTGGCTTCAAACTCACAGAGATCCGCCTGACTCTGCCTCCTGAGTGCTAGGATTAAAGGCATGTGCCACCACCACCTGGCCACAGTGTTTTTAAGACAGTTGACTCCATTGGTAAAGAGACGATATCTACAAGTTTACAGTTCTCTCATTTAGAGTCTTACGTTTTTATAAATAGCAAAGGCCTGTTGTAGAAAGGAGGGTTCAGTCTGGATTGCTCTGAGCCTCTATCCACAACTTGGGGGTGGCAGTATAAGCAAAAAGGAAATCCATAGAAAAAAATTGGGGGTTAATGGTTTCTGAAGTACATAAGGAACATCGCATGGGGTGACCTCTGACCTCTACTTACCAAACAGAGGTGGCTATCCTCAGGAGGTCAGAGTGATTGTAAACTGCTGAAGAGTATTTTGTTGGTTAGTTTTTTTTTGTCCACTTCATACAATGTGGAGTCGTTTGAGAATAGGGAACCCCAAATGAGAAAATGTCCCTAAGATTGGTCTGTAGGCAAACCTGTGGGGGATTTATGTGCAAAGGCCCAGCCCACTGTGGGTAGGGCCATTCTTGGGCAGGTGATCCTGGGTAATATAAAAAATCAAACTGAGGAAGGTATGGAGAGAAAGCCAATAAGCAGTGCTCCTCCGTGGGCCCTGATTCAGATCCTACCTCCAGGTTCCTGCCTGAGTTCCTTGTTGGCTTCCCCTGATGATAAACTGGAACCTCTAAGCCAACAAACCCATTCCTTCCCAAGTTGCTTTTGGACATGGCGTTTGTCAGAGCAATAGGAAGGAAACAAACTAAGGCTGGTGCCTTAGAACTATCTAGAGTGTAAATGGAGAATCCTCATACCGAAGAGACTGTTGACGCATGGTCTGACAAGGCAGACCCAGCAGTGCTTGAGAAGGCTGGGAGACAGGTAGGGTGATCACAGACAGGCTGCAAAGAGACTTCACGATGAATATGAGCTCATAACTGAGAACAGTCAATCTCTGAGAAAAGCTAATATCCCAAAGAGTAAGAAGGAGGTATTTTTTTTTTCTGAGAGCCTTGCATTAATATCCCCAGAAGGGTAAGAGAGGATGTTGTGTCCTTGAGACTAGGACTTGTTTTTTTTAAAGAGAAAACTTCTAGGTGACTTGACTGGAGGCAGGGGGACGACACACGGGGGGAGGGACGACACACGGGGGTGGGGGGGGAATATGATGGTCACACTAAGGTTCTTTGGGATCTGATCTGTATTTCACTTTGTACTGTCGAGAGACAAGGAAACACCTTATGGCAACAGGCCGACCACTGTGTTGCTGGAAAGCTCACATTTGTAAGCCCTCATATGGGCTCTTGCCTCTTTGCGCCCAAGCCTGTTTGTCCTGGGCCTGTCATTAGAGCCAATCAAGTCACCTACCTTTTCCTTAAGAATGCCTTTCCAATATCTGCTTTTTGCCTTCATGGTCTTATCTCCAAACTAAATAGTAGCTCATTCATGGGCTTCTCGCCCAATCGCTTTCTGACTTTATTCTTCTGCTAACCTTGTCCCAAAGCTCTTTTTGGATTATCCTTAACATCTAAAACAGAGGCCATTCCAGAAGGCCCATAGTTGTCCTGTACTTCAGATGTTTTGCTTTATTTTTCACGATGATATTATTACTTCCTCTGATTATGCAGCTACTATTAATACATGTAAGTCCACATGAGCATAGTGCCTTCCCCAAAGAACTCCAGGAAATGAGTAAGCAGGTCTGTTTCTCTAATGTTTTCTGTTGGGTTCATCTGTTTAGTAAATATTTATGAACTTCAAGCCATGTTCCAGAGACAGTGCTAGGTGCTATTGGGACTCCTGGGGGATTTGAAGCAGAGCTCCTGCCTGAAGAAGCTCATCATCTGGTAGGACAGAGAAGATATGTGTCTAAATAACCTCCAGCTTAGAGCATGGTGCAGATGGGGCCGTGGGTAGAGCTGTGAGTAGACAGGCACACACGAATGAAAAGCAGAAATGCTTCCCAATCAACAGGATTTCAGAAGTCTGGAGTCAGAATGCCAGTTCAGATTCCTTCCCTGGACTTGGATCTTGTTATCCCAACTTCCTGTTCCGGGTGTGTCCTCAATTCCAGGACTCAGTGAGTGCCTATTTGTTCTTATTATTCTCCTGGGCTTAAAGATCAGCAAAGAAGCCTGGCTTTCAGAATCAGGCATTCAGTAATCCCATTTCTTCATATAAGCACACAGACACAGACACACAGACACAGACACACACACACAGACACACACACACAGACGCACACACACTGAAAATTGTAAATAGGGAGTTGAGTTGAATGGATATGTATGCATCCATTATATAAAAACACTATTCACATAACCAAGAGGCAGAAGCACCCCAAGTAGCCACTGATGGATGAATAGATGGACAGCCTGTGGTTACACACACAATGTAGTATTGTTCTGTCAAAGCATGGAACTTCTGACACATGCCACAATAGGAATTACTCCTCAAGATGTTATAGGAAATGAGATGAGCTATTCACAAAATGTCAAACATTAAATGATTCCACTCACGTATTATTCATAGAGATGGAAAGACAATGATGTTTGCCTTGGGACAGGGCCCTGGGAGAGTGGGGAAACAGCATTTGATGGCCACAGAGTTTCAACTGGAGAAGACGAAACAGTTCTACAGATGGTCATGCTGGCTGTGCATCAGTGTGAACGTGTGTATGTGTGTGTCCATTTGTATTTGTAGGTTCGCAGCCCTGAGTGTCCACCTGTGAAGGCCAGTGCGTGGTCCTCTTCTACTCCTGTCCTACGCCTTGTTCCCCCGAGGCAGCATCTCTCACAGAATGAAGAGCATGCTGCTGTCCATCAAGGCTAGCAGGCCGAAGTTCCAGGGACCCTTCTGTCTCTGCCTCCCAGCTCTGGAGTTACAGGCACATGTGGCCACAGCTGGCTGTAGCAGGCTTTTTTGGAGCGCCAGCCCTCAAATCATGGCACTTATTATGACCTGTTAAGAAGCCTCTCTCTGCCCAGCTCTAACTTTTTAAGGGAACAATGCGTCTCCTTTACTGTTCCAGTCCAGTCAACATCTAAATGCTTCTCCCTTGTTCTCAACTTATGAGAGGAATTTTTGCATCGCACTTGAAGGCAAAACAGCAGCAGTATTTACTGAAAGCTGGGCAAGAGATTTGCCCTTATGTTGTCTTCCATCAGTATCGTCTGTCTGGCAGGCTAAGGCTTGCAACCTGATTTCACACCCAAGTACATGTTAGATGCACTAGAAAACATCGTTCACAAAACATAAAATTTAGCTGGCTACTCTCAACCGAAGCTTGTGAGTGTACTGTGGGGGAGGTATTAATGCACACTTGCACACACACACACATACACAGGTTGAGGCCAGAGGATAACCTCAGATATCAGTCCTCTGGCACTGTCCATCATTTTGCAAGACGGCAAGGCTGGCTGGCCAGTGAGCTCCAGGGACCTGTTTGTCTCAGACTCTCCAGTGATGGCATTACAAACTTGAGCGTTCATATCCGGCATTTTTTTTTTATGTGAGTTGTGGGGATCATACCTGTGTCTTCATGGTTTAAGTAACTGGGCTATCTCTCCAGCCTTCATTTATGCTCTTTAAATTTTTTCATCTTTTGTTTTGTTTCCGAGATGGGGCTCTCGACTTGTTTGCCCAGGTTGGTCTCAAATTCTGGGCCTCAAGTCATGCTTCTGTCTCAAACTCCATTTTGGTTGTTGCCTTTGGGGGTGGGGAGGGGGGGTGACCAATGAAGTCAGCTAAGCCATGTTATTTTGCACACTCCTACTGGCTCCTAGACTGAATAATACCCTTGCTCAGGTCATCACGCTCTCATTCTCTTCATCTAGCCGATTACAAGCTGCTACAGTTCTGCGATGGCTTTCTTTGCCCTCCCATTGCATTTTGAGCATTCTCACTCCAGTGTTTCTCCCTGTTCAAAGCCAGACCATTGTGTGTGCCGAGCTGATTCTGCCCAGGCTGCGCAGGGTGTGCTGGAAGCAGTGTGGACTTTGTAGCACAGAGAACTGCTCTTGGGAATACTAATGGCATGCCTGATAAACTGGGCTGGGGGGAGCCTCGGGGACAATGGCAGACCCGCCTGAGAGCAGAACCAGAAAGTGCATCTGCAGAAACAGCAGTCAAGGGAAGCAACCCTGTTCTCTCTCCTAACTTTTCACGTCCTTTGGCATCCATCCTCTCTTAGGCCATTCCAGGATCAACCATTTCAAGAGCCTGCACAAAGCAGAACCATCCAAAATTAAAAAAAAAAAAAAAAAAAAAAAAAACAACACAGAGCTCAGATTCAAGGTCTGTTTTGTCAAGTTCAGGATTAGCTGGAAAAGCCCTGCCTTTCGGGTCTTGTCTCCCCCCCCCCCCCCCATCATGAAACGCCATTTTCCCAAGACATTCTTGTGGTACGTCATCATTCACCAATCAGAGAGCCCAGTGGGGTGATATTTAATTCATGTCTGTCAATCAGGACACAAAGAAAAGGCCTTCAGCTGGCCAGAGAGAATCCTGCGCTCACCAAACAAAGAGTCCACGGGGATCTCTGGGCCCAGCCGCCAACCACTCTCAGGGAGCAGGCTTCACGCTACCAGCCCCTTGTGTGGTTTCAAAATAATTGTGGCTTTGGAAGCTGCGAGGCAGATGAAAGAGATTAAACAGAGCATCCCCGCGACAGTCGGGATGGGACTGGGACTCTGGTGTTTGAGCCCCTCTGTCGCGGATCAGCATGTCCTTGGCATCAGACCTCTGTGTCCCATCCAAATATTTGAATTCTAGAGACAAGCAGAAGTCTGACCCTCCCGACTTGCGGTTATATTAGTTCCATGATTTTTAAACACACATATCAGCAAAACCAAGTCGTTAAGATAAGAATCTTGTGTATGAAAAAAAAAATTTTTAAAGCCTCATTTCTAATGCCTGTCATTGATCTTTGGAAGCTGGAGGGATATGAACAATAAATAAATGAAATGAAATACTTCCGCGGCAGTTGTCGGCAACACAAACACAGGATTCAAAGCAGCAGATGGGCGACAAAGGAACCGGTCCTCGTGTTCAAACTTAGCTCCCTGAGTACTTCCCCCTCCACTCCCCCAACCCCCATAAACCGTCCCTGGGAAGTGCAGCGAGCTTCTCTCCTCCCTTTGGCTCCTCCGGAACAGCGGAACAGCGGTGGACCAAACTGCTTGTGCACTTGACCCTAAAAAACGGGAACCAGAGCTGCTGCTGCTCAACCCAGTGAGGCCCTACCCCTCATTTCTTTTTACTCAGAGAACAGTTATTTCACACCTTTTTCTTTCGAATTATATTTCCCTTGCTCGCTCATTTTAGTGGCGGTGACAAACGACCAAATAGGAGGGAGGGTGGGAGGGAGATGAATGACGAAGGGCCAAGAGCCAAGGCAAACGTGTGCGGCCCGGAGAAGACCAGCTTTTTAATCTTAGCCCTCCCGACTTCGGGCTCTCTGGGACTAGCAGGAGCTTAAACGCCTTGATCTTCAATTTCCTGTCTGGTGAAGTGGGAAACACCTACCCGCAGTATTCTCATTACAATTAAGTGAGATTACGGAGGTGAGAGCTCTTGGCAGGACCGGAGCTCTTAGACACAGTAGTTTCTTCCATAACACAAGAGGAGGTTTAGAGCATGGCTGAACAGTCTGCGTGTAACCGGGACGCCCCTGGACCACCAGCTAGCTCAAGTCCCTGTTTAAGGTTGTGGCTTCGCTGGCATTGTTCTCAGGCTAACGCCCTTAGATTCCTTTCTTGCTGCAGCCGCAGCAGGATCGGCAGCTGTCCTTCGAGAAGGCTCTCTCCTTCTTATTTACTGCTGTTATTATGAACATTGGGGGCACAAGAGATTTCAAGAACAGGTTAACCCCTGTGATGGTTAATCTTGATTGACAACTTGACTGGATTTAGAATCACCACAGAAACATGCCTCTGGGTGTGTTGGTGGGCGTTTCCGGAAAGGGTCCACTACAGAGGGAAGACACATAGCACCAAGGATGAGTTGAATAAGATGGACAAGTAAACAGCACCAGCATTCATCTCTCTCTGCTTCTTGACTGTGGACACCATGTGACCAGCCACCTCACACTCCTGCCAGTGGACCTTGTATCCCCACGGACTATAAGCCCAAATAAACCTGCCTTCACTTAAATTGATTCTTGTCTGGTATTTGATCACTTCGATAATAAAAGCAATTAACACACCCCGTTAGAGTCAGGCAGGTACACCATGCCTACCAGCTTAGACTATAATTAAAGGTTCAAGCAACTGTAGTCTCAACTACTTGGGAGGCTGAGGCAGTAGGGTTGGTTGAGCCCAGTCTAGGGCCAGCCTGGGTAACAAACTTCTTATTAAAAACAAAAGCAATAAGCACTATTTGGGCTAAGTATACAGCTCAGTGGTGAAACATACCTGGGTTCGAGCTTAAACACTAATAATAGCTGTCTTTGGAAAGGGGGAAGTGATAGTGGTATTAAGGTTGAAAAAGGACAAGTTGGAGCTGGGTGGTGGTGGTGGTGGCGGCGGCAGCAGCAGCAGCTGCGGCGGGCGGCTGCCGGAGTGGCGCACTCCTGAGATCTCACCACTAGGGAGGCAGAGGGGAGGATCAGGATCCCAGGCCAGTGGAGGCTACAAAGCCAAGTTCCCTCACTGTCTCCACATCTTAGTTGCCTCAGTTATGAAATGAGGTGTTTGATACTGTTGTTGGTGTTCGTTCTCATTCTTTATGTAATCTTCCGTTTTAATGACTGTAGAATGGACACAGGAGTGCATCCTCCTGTGCTCTGCTCTCTTCTTATCCACTGAAGGGCTGCACACACAGCTGCCTCCACTCTGCCGCCTAGCGCCATGCTTTCTCTGCCACTCCTCCAGCAAGCAGCTTCTTGCTGGGTATTGGGTCAGAAAGTCTTTTGTTTGGGTTTGTTTGTTGTTTAGTCTTGTTTTTGTTGTTGCTGTTGTTTGTTTAAGTAACCAATACAGGAAATTGGTGGAGAGAAGTGGGGTTGTTGTTATGATACCCTAACTAAGATTCCCAGGCCTTTAGAGCCAGCTTGTGGAAGGAATGGGGAAGGATTGGAGCTGTGGCCTGGAGAAGTGCTAGCAGCTTGCAAGCAGAGTTTAATGGGCCACGCTGCCCCAGCCTGGAAGGCAAGAAAGCAGATAGAAATGTAGAGTGGAGGCTGAGCTCATTAGGTTTCTGAGGGGAACAGGATTCTACTGGGAATGGGGCCAGAGGCCATTCAAGCTATACTCTGGCAAAGAATCATGTTCTATCTATTTCCTGAAAACCTGAATGAGGCTGAATTCAGAGGCAATGGACTAGCTTGTTAGACCAAGGTAATTTCAAGACAGCATAACATTTAGGCTGTAATGTGGTTTTTACTTACTGCATTCATCCAGCTTACACTGAGAGAGTGTGGGAATGTGAAAAATGACCATAGTTAGAGCTTAGGACAGGACAGTTTCAGAACAAATAACTATAATTATTAAGTAGATTGGCAGCAATACAGAGAAACCTCTGACTTCTTACAAGGACAATGGTGTTGTGGGATAACCTTTTTGTACACTGTAAAGATGTGTCTCTGCCCAAGACACCTTGTGATTGGCTTAATAAAGAGCTGATAGCCAGTAGCTAGGCAGGAGAGAATAGGTGGGACTTCCTGGGAGAGAGAGGAACTCAGTGTTAGAATCTAGGCACACAGGAAAGCTAGGGAGACATTGAAGAGGTCGGACATATGGTACAGAGTAGAGGTAACTGAGCCACGTGGCAAAACGTAGAATAATAGAAGCAGGTTAATTTAAGTTATAAAAACCCATTAAGAACAAAAATAAGCTAAAGGCCAAGCTTTCATAATTAATATGAAGTCTCTGTGTTGTTATTTGTGAGCTGGAAGCCCAAGAAAGTTCAACTACACAATAGGGAAGGTGTCTGTATGGGAAGATGTACCCGTGAAGAGTTCCAGGTTGTAATCATGAAATCAACTTGAAAGAAACAAACGTGAAAAAGAAGAAACTTTGGGTGCCCCATTTGAAAGTTGTCTAGGAAAGTGTTTTCCTAGACTCATCTACAAAGGCACAAGGAGGCTATTGCCACTGTAGTGCAGTGAGCAGGTTATATTTGAGCTGGCAGCAGAACTTGCTGGTGGGAGCCACAGAGCATTGGTTTTGTAGGCATGCAAGTGAGAGACGCATGGAGGCTGGCAACAGCAAGCCACCGAGGTCCAGTGACATCGCAGCAACGCCAGACTCCCTTCCTGGAAGTCCTGAGTGGGCTGTACATGGAACTTTGAAGGAAAACTCTGAATTTCAACGGAGATCTTAAAAAATTGGAAATAGCCAGGTGGTGGTAGTGCATGCCTTTAATCCCAGCACTCAGGAACAGAGGAGACAGGTGGATCTCTGAGTTCAAGACCAGTCTGCAGAATGAGTTCCAGAACAGCCAGAAAAAAACCTTGTCTCAAAGAGAGAGGGGGGGGAAGGAAGGAAGAAAGAAAGAAGGAAAGAAAGGAAGGAAGG